TTCTATAATTGCAGTTCAAACCATAACTGCTATGGTTTGAATGTGTCACCTCCAAATATCAGGTTTTGAACCTTAATGGCCAACGTAATGACATTAAGAGGTTGGGCCTTTAAGAGCTAGGTCATGAGGGCTCCTTCCCTTGTGAGCTGGAATTCAGATCCTTATAAGGCTTCACGCAGCGTTCACCTCACTTGCCCTTCCACCTTCTGCCATGTGAGGGCAGACATTCCTCCCCTGCGGAGAATGCAACAAGGCATCCTCTTGGAAGCAGAGAGCAGCCCTCACCAGCCAACCAGACCTGTCAGCACCTTGACCTTGGATTTAGCAGCCTCCAGAACTGTGAGAAATACATTCCTATTGCTTATAAATTACCCAGTCTCAGGTTTTATTAAAGCAGCAGAAACAGAGACATGCATCTGCTAATTTTCCAAATTCAGGGGATAAAAAAGCAAGTTATTAGTAAGAAAAAAAACCAAATTTCTTCACTATTAGGATTTGACAATTGTGTCACAACTGTGACAATTTATCAAGTCTGTGATCTTGCTAGCAATTTCCATCATTATGTTTAATAAGTCATATGGTAAAATAAGCTTAGAATTGAATTAAATATAGATTTGACAGATTATTCTTCCATGACATCAGCAAATTAGAAAAAAATGGAAGCATTTTAAGGGACTCATTTGAGATGAGAATTCATTCTGGGGCAAGAATACTTATTGTGTATTCTGTTTACAATACAGCAGTCACCAGTAGCTCCTATATACAGGAGAGGTTCAAAACCTTAGTGTATAAAACCAAACTCTCAACCATTTTTTCATCCTTTTTGTGTGTCTTTTCTACAGAAGCGAAAATACTGTGCCATGAAGTTCTTCCTTGATTTTTTTTTTTTTTTTCGAGACAGAGTCTCGCTCTGTCACCCAGGTTGGAGTGCGGTGGCATGATCTCGGCTCACTGCAAGTTCCGCCTCCCGGGTTACACCATTCTCCTGCCTCAGCCTCCCAAGTAGCTGGGATTACAGGGACCCACCACCACGTCTGGCTAATTTTTTGTATTTTTAGTAGAGGGGTTTTACTGTGTTAGCCAGGATGGTCTCGATCTCCTGACCTCGTGATCTGCCTGCCTCGGCCTCCAAGGGATCACAGGCGTGAGCTACTGCACCCAGCCTCCTTGATCATTTAAGAATGATCTTTTTCTTCTACAAAGTGGCATGTCTCTACTGGAAAAGTGAATGTTGTGGCTGCCATCTCACAGCCCAGCTTTTGACTTCAAATTGAAACTCCAGTGTGGGTGATGCAAAACTGGAGGCCCCTTTGTTACCTCACTCTGTAAAGCAAGAGCCTAAATGATTCTAAAGTCTGTTGCAAGAAGGGAATACAACAGAAGACCCCAATCTATGTCTTTCCTCATTTGTAACTGGATCCCACAAACGTGCTAAGTAACAAGATCAAAATGAGGAGGGGGATGTGTAGTAAATATTGTATTTAACATCTTAATTTTTGTTTGAGTGTCTACACTGACTGGCACAGCACTAGAAAATCTCTTCCCCCGTACACTGGCTCATTGAATCCTCAGATTCACACTGGGAGTTAGATTATAGAAGAGAAGAACATGGTAGAGAAAATCATCCAGTCGGCATGCAGTGGCTCACACTTGTAATCCAGGCATTTTGGGAGGCCAAAGTGGGTGGATTGTTTGAGCTCAGGAGTCCCAGATCAGCCTGGCCAATATGGCAAAGCCCCATCTCTACAAAAATTAACCAGGTGTGGTGGCATTCGCCTGTAGTCCTAGCTAGTTGGGAGGCTGGAGTGGGAGGACTGCTTGAGCCCAGGAGGCAGAGGTTACAGTGAACCAAGGTCCAAGACTGTGCCACTGCACTCCAGCCTGGGCAATACAGTGAGACCCTGACTCAGAAAAAATAAAAGAAAATCAGAAAATCATCCAAGGTTACACAGGTGGTAATTGGCCATCAAGTTTCAAAATTATACTAGATTTTTGTTCTGAAGTGTAAGTTTAACTTGAATATAAAACGGTATTAAAAGAAAAACTTCTGCTGAATTAAATTTAAAGGAGTTTAATTGAGCAATGAATGATTAGCGAATCAGGCAGCTCCCAGAATCACAGCAGATTCAGAGAGACTCCCGCGGTGCCTTGCGGTCAGAACAAATTTATAGACAAAAAAGTGAAGTGATGTACAGAAATCAGAAATGAGGTACAGGAACAGCTGGATTGGTTACAGCTCAGCAGTTGCCTTATTTGAACACAGTTTGAACACTCAGCCGTGTATGAGTGGTTGAAGTATGGCTCCTGGGATTGGCCAAGACTCAGCGATTGTTACAGGCACGTACTCCTAAGTTAGGTTTTCATTCCTGTCTACCTATTAAATTAGGTGGCAATTCATCCACAAGGATTCAACTATAAAAGTACAGAGTCCATCTCAGGCCATATTTAGTTTGCTTTAACAACTGCTACGGATGTATTTGGAAATACATTTCTATGTCGTGGCTGACTATCCTTTACAACAGGTATATTGATGAGGAACTCAGAAATTGACATTGGCACTTCTATGCTTAGTCAAAAGAAGGATGGGGCTTGTTGTGTGACAACCTGTGATATGGTAGAATAATAAAAAATATATATATTGGTCTTTGTCCCTGGTTCCTGACATAGAGCTCCTAAAACTCTTGTCGATGTGGATGCTAGGATAATCTTTTGTTCTAATATTTGGTTTTTGACCCCAGTTCCTGACACAGAGCTCCAAAATCCCTTGGAATTTCCTGGGTGATAGGAACATCTTTTGTTCAGATGAAGTGAATCTTGGTGAACCCCTAGATAGCTTTAGGATGGGGGCTGGTTACTAGGGAAACCAACCATGTGATTATGCAGCTGGAACTTTCAGCTCCATCCTGTGACCTCTGGGGAGGAGAAAAGGGCTCAAGTTGAGTGATCACCAAATGGCCAATGATATCATCAATTGTGCCTATGAATGAATCCTCCATTAAAATCCCAAGGGACAAGATTCAGGGATGTTTGAGATAGCTGAACATATGGAGGGGCTGAGAAGGCATGGAAGTTCCACACCCTTGCCCACATACCTTTCTCTGGGCATCTCTTCCATCTGGTTATTCATCTGTGTCCTTTGTAATATCCTCTATAGTAAATGGGCAAACATAAGTAAAGTGTTTCCTTGAATTCCGTGAGTCACTCTAGCAAAGTAATCAAACCGGAGGAGGGGCTTGTGGGAACCCAGATTTGTAACTGGTTGGTTAATCATAAACAACATATAGTCACAACCTGGGACTTGTGATTGGCATTTGAAGTGGGGGACAGTCTTTTGGGACTGAGCCCTTAACCTGTGGGATCTGACACTAACTCCAGGTACACAGTGACAGAGCTGGGTTAAATTATAGGACATAGAGTTGGTGGCCACTGGAGAATCAGTTGTCGGTGGGAAGAAATTCCCACACATTTTGGTGACAAGAGGTGAAGGGCAGTATGGAGTGTGTGAGAGTAAAGAGAAAAGAGGTTTTTTTTGTTTTGTTTTTGTTTTTTCCCTCTCAGAAAAATCAAAGCCCAATTAAAAGATGAAACGGCTGAACAATTGCCAGCCCATATAGAGAGCTAAATCCTCACTGGGATCACACATGATGTCAATTAACTGTGTTTCCACAGGTGATCCGTTACACAGGTGGAGAAATGCAAGTTAGTCTGGTCCTTTTCCACTACAGTAGACAGAGTGGCTTAGAAATTAAAACATTGCTCCTTGGCAGAGGTATGTACCTACATTTGCATACTTCTGCAATTCACACATACAAATTGTGCAATGATTCCTTTATTTGATTATCAAAAATTTACTTCCTTAAATATGCCTCCAAAAAGGTTATCTGGTTCTAAAGATTGCACACAAAAAAAAAAAAAACGGGAGTAGAAGAAAAGTGTGATTGGTGAAAAAGCAGAAATGAAAGACAATTCCAGTTGAGTTAAATGTTCCACATTTAGGGCATGTAAAGATACATGCCAGGATATAATTTTTTATTAAGTACACACTAAGCAAAGGATAATGAAAATAATGGCGTGTTTTGAGGAAACCTGGGCTATTGATAGTACAGGTGGTGACAGAAAATACCATACTTGTGCTGGTATTTTGAAATGGTAGATGTGCTCACTGATTTATAAGTTTAAAGCTATAAAATTAAAGCACGCTGTAACAAACAAGATGCAACTGTTGCTATAAAACTTTCAAGTCCTTTACCCTTCTTCCTCCCACTGAAATAATTGTTTTTAGAGAATGATTTTTGAGGTTTCTGTGGAGCACAAATGTCAGTTCCTGCAGAACAGACTGTAGCGGGCTTGCATACAATTGCATGGGTTGCAGTGAACTTTAATACTGATGATGTCAGGATATTCTGTTCTGATACATATGCAAAGTTTATTAATAAGCACAGCATCGGTATTTTTAAATCGGTAAATATTTTAAAGTACCACTGTTTTATTTGTCCTGTTCGTCAAATCTTAGCATATTAACTCTTAGAGCTATCCTTGTAACTACGACCTGTATTCACAGTAGATTTTTTGTATTTCTCCTTCATTCTCCCAACCCAGCCCCCACCCTACTGCCTACATTTTTGGACCCCATAGGAGGAAAGGGGGCAAGAACTGTCAGAAGGAAGAAGGCCTATGAAAATCAGCGTTTTCCAAAGTGCTCAAGAACTTTACTTCGATCCCAAATCAGTTCTCTGGAAGAGGTAAGAGTTTATTTGCGATGGACCCATGCAAACCCTACCCTACGCGCGGATTTTGTTCCCCCCCAGAGCCTCCTGAGAGTCTTGGTTAATTCCAAAGCTGCTAAGGGACTCCAGGGTCCCGGAGGGAGGGCCCTGTGCCCCTCAGCGCTGCTTAGGGTCTTCCTGGGCGGCTGCACTGGGAAACTAAGCCGGCCCAGGCGATGTGCCCCGGGCGGCCCCAAGAAAAAGAGGAGCGGCTCAGAAGCCACGGGCTTTTACCTCTGGGAAGTGGCCATGAGGCCCGGCATGGTAGCTGCTGTCTCCTCTTGAAACCGTGCAGTGAAAATCGAGTGCGCCCTCTCCGGCCCGCAGCTCTGAAGAGGGGTGGGGCAGGGACAGGGTCATCTCCATAGGGACCCAACAACACTGAGCCGCCACCCCGCCCCAGCGGCCGACCTGGACCTCCCCAGCTGCAGTGTGCAGAGCCGCCCGCCCCGTGCGGGCCACCGCCCTTCTCTCCGCAGTCCCAGCGCGAGGCCAGCTAGGTTCGGGTCCCGGCTCCTTTCCCCGTCCCCAGGGAGCTTGCCGTGGGAAAAAGCTTTCGTGGGGTCCCGTGGGTCGCGGCACGTCTCAGAAGCCCTACGAGGTGTCCAGCAGAGATGCTAGACCCAAGGCCGTGGGACCCCAAGAAGAGACTCGGACACTGAAGCCAACGTTTGCTTGATCTCAAACAAAGCCAGCGATGTTAATTAAGGCTGTGTGATGAGGAAAGTGGAGTTTCTTATTTTTTGTTATGTTCGTCTTCAGCAGATTCTCAGAAAATGTTAATGTTTACTGCAGAAGTACCAAGTTCAGCATTATACAGGAGGTACAAAAACAAAATCGCAAAAACAAAACCAAAAAACCCTTCCTCATTAGTTTCTGGTCAAAATGTCTTTTAAGTATTTATTGTGAAGCCTGTTTTTTTTTTCTTTTGTATGTAATAGTTATGGCCATGAAAAGATGCTCACAATACATTACCTATAAAAAGCAGCTTAGAAAACCACCAGAATGGTACGATCTATTTTTTTTGCAACATGTTTAAGAAATCTGGGAGTATGTACACAAATAGGTTAAATGGTTTGCTCTGGTAGTTTTAAAAATCATCTGTAATTCGATTTTTTCTACAATGAATAAGCAACATCTATGTAATAAAAAAATTTCATTCTAGTTAAGTTTCTTATGAGAGATGGGATCTTGCTATGCTGCCTAGGCTGGAGTGCACTATAGCCTAGGCAGCATAGCAACATCATTGTGCACTATATTTTTATTTTTATTTCAAATATATTTTTCTTTTTCATCTGTATGCCAGTAAAATCATCATCATGCACTATAGCCTAGAACTCCTAGGCTCAAGCAATCCTCCTGCCTCAGCCGCCAGAGTAGCTGAAAGTACTGGTGCCTGTCCCCAAACCAGGCCCTAAATTTTATTCTAATACAGGCACCGCATTTTTTCCTGTTGCCTTGGATATGTGTTTAAGGAGTGTGAAAGGATACAAATTAGATAAGCTAATATTTCACTACCTGGGACCCATCTGGGGCCCTGTGACACAAAGGGCAAATGAACCAAGTGAATAAACAAGGTCAATCCACTGCTCTGTCACAACCCACAGGAACCAGCTTTTTGCTTTACTCTATCTCAGGACCAATCCAAGAAAAATTTCACATGACAAAGTATCCTTTCGCCCTGTCAGACCGTAGAGTACTACTTTTTCCCCTTAAATCCCTATTCTCACAACCCAAATGAAGTTTCCTCCGTGACGCTATAATTTTTAAAAGGGGTATTAAAAAGACCAATTAAATAAACTGATCAAAATACTCTGAATTCAGAAAGCCAAAAATTATTAAAATCAAAATTTGAAAAATATTCAATAAGTCCGTCTCCTCCCCTCCCCCAATTAGGTGCTTATTTCTGTGGCCTGGAAACAAGGAGACAGAAGCATTAGCATCTTCTGCAACACAAAGGTAACCGAGCTATACAATAAGCAAAATGTGTTCTATCCATACCATGGAGTATGATTCAGCCAAAAAAAGAAATGAAGTACACGCAATCACATGGATGAAGCTTAAATCCTTGAAAATATCATGCTAAGTAAATGAAACCAGTCACAAAAGGCCACGTATTGTATGATTCCATTTATATAAAATGTTTAGAATAGAAAATCCAGAGAGCTGGAAAGGAGGTTAGTGGCTGCCAAAGGCTGAGGGGCTTGGGGGACAAGGAGTGACTGTTAATGGGATTCTTTTTAGGGTGATGAAAATGTTCTAGAATTAGATAGATCACAGTGATAGGTATATAACTCTATGAATCTACGAACAATCACTGAATTGTACACTTTAAAGGGGTATATTTTATGACATGAATTATTGTTTCAATAAAGCTGTTTTTAAAAGGTGATGAAATGAATGTTTACTGAGCATTGCTGGTGTCAGCTATTGTGATAGACATCTCTCTCTCTCTCTCTTTTTTTTTTTTTTTTGAGACAGAGTGTTGCTCTGTCGCCCACGCTAGAGTGCAGTAGCGCAATTTCGACTCACTGCAACCTCTGCCTCCTGGGTTCAAGCAAGTCTTGTGTCTCAGGCTCCCTGGTAGCTGGGATTACAGGAGCCCACCATCACGTCCAGCTAATTTCTGTGTATGTGTTTTTAGTAGAGGTGGGGTTTCACCATGTTGGCCAGGCTGGGTCTTGAACCCCTGACCTCAAGTGATCCACCTGCCACAGCCTCCCAAAGTGTTGGTATTACAGGCGTGAGCCACCGCGCCCGGCCTGTGCTAAGCATCCTATACACCCTTTTTCACTTACTCCCCATATAACCACTACCAACTTGGTTACTGACCTCATTTTCTAGATTACAAAAAAAAAAAAAACCCAACCTGAGTAAACGTGCATGAACACAAAGCTAAGCGGGGGCATAACGGGGATTCAAATTAAGGTCTAAGTAACTTTAAAGCTCACATTCTTTCATCACACCAGTATTTAAATGTACACAAGGTACAGAATTTGCAAGGAAGTTCTAGAACCTCAAATTTTATAAATAGTTTACTTGTAAGGATTGAACCCTTGTATCGCCCAGATTGAAGACTACATGGGTTTCTTCAAAACAGACAACAGAGATTAATTTAAAACAACTACTTTATTAAAAAATAGCAAATCTCACAAATACTTATTTAATTTCTTATCACTGGCCATTGGAAAACACACCAACGTGTATACGGATTGTCTAACGTAAACTGAAGCTGGGCTGCCACAAGACGCCTGTGCATCATCAGCTTGTGATCAACACTGGAATAAGTTTGGTGAGCTTGGGAAAGAGAAATCCCTCAACCCCGTCAAGAACATTAGCACAATGCATTTCAAGTATAATCCCATAAGGCAACAATATGAAGCATAGCAGCACAATCTCTGCATCACATTTCTTGATTAAGCCTTCAACAAGGCCTAGGCCTCCAGTTATGGCGAATTACGGCGAGTCACATTTACTAAAAGCAGAATGTGAAAACAATCATTGCACTTGCACTTTAATTACTTTAATTCCTTGTTGTGGAAGATGATTCTGCTACTGGATTTGGCTGGAAAAGTAAAGACTGCTGCTTCTCTTCAAACCACAGAGAGCAAGCTGCATTCATTTTAGCTAGCAGAAGTATTTGGAACATCTTGTGCATCTGCCAAATGGAGTTTTTGTCTGAATTCATCAGTTAAGAAGATTTTCATTCTATAAGGGGTACTTCTTTTACATTTCTGAAAATTACATTCAGGAGCAAAGAGAAAGAGGTGTTTAAAAAAGAGATATGCTCAAAGGAAAAGCTCTTGTGTTGCTACTGAGACACTCAGATGGGGTAAGACAACTTTTAAACGTAGTAAATTATAGACAGAATTTGAAGACTTTTTTTTTTTTTTTTTTAATTTTAGAGATAAGGACTCACTTTGTTGCTCTGGCCGGAATGCAGTAGTACGATCATACTTCACTGCAGCCTCGAACTCCTGGGCTCAAGCAACCTTCCCACCTCAGCCTCCCAAAGGCACATGCCAACACACCTGGCTAATTATTCTTTGTTAGAGATGGGGGAGGAGTCTTGCTATGTTGCCCAGGCTGGTCTTGAACTCCTGGCCTGAAGCAACCTTCCTGCCTCGACCTCCCAAAGTGCTGGGATTACAGGTGTGAGCCACACCTGGCCCAGAATTATTTTTAATGTGTCAATAATCATTTTCATAGTAAGGAGCTGATTAGAGACAAATATGACAAGACACTAGATTAAAAAAACCTTTTGAGAAGACACCACTTTATCATCTTTGGGAAAACAATTCTGTTTAAAAGTCCAAAAATAAAATCATTACAGCTCTAAAATCTTTTCTATAATTCTCTTAATTGTTCCTCAAGAAGACTGGAAATAGGACAGGAATCTTGCATGGATTACTCATCCTTTCTTACGATCACTGTCTTTCATTTTTCTCACTGACCTGTATTTATCCACCTGTTACTTATTTTTCAAGACCCAATTCAATGATATGAATACTCTGAAGGCAACTAAATGCTTGCAGTACATGTACGGCAGAGGTTGCAAAAATGTACAGACATAAGCATTGCCATCAAAGACATTCTCGTCCAGTTGGAAGGCTGAGATTTAACACATGTAAAAATCAACAGATAATAATATAGGGCAGAATGCTAGGTTAAGGTACAAATGAAATCCTTTATGGAAGTGGTCAGCTTGAATGTAATGTGATAAGGAGAACAAGGAGGTGAGAGTAAATTTAGGTAGGAGGTACAACCTGAACAAAGGCATTATGATGAGAATGAACATGATGTGTTTCTTGGGCATCCAGAAAACCAGCCTGAGGGGAATGAAAAAGAACGAAAAATACAACAGCATGTACAGGTTGTGACCAAATTATTAAGAACCTTTAAAATAGTTGACATGGTTTAAATAAATTAGTAAAAAATAGAAATGGCAGGAAGAAAGTGATGTTTCAAGAATATTAATTTTGTAGCAATGCCTAAAGTTTAGAGCAACACTGTCCAATAGAAATACTGGAATCACACTTGGAATCCCAGCACTTTGGGAGGCTGAGGTGGGAGAACTACTTGAGCCCAGGAGTTTGAAACCAATCTGGGCAACATAGCAAGAACCCATCTCTTAAAAAACAAACAAACAAACAAACAAACAAAACCAAAAAAACAGCTGGGCATAACATACACCTGTAGTCCCAGCTACTCAGGAGGCTGAGGTGGGAGATCAACTGAGCCCAGGGAGTCGAGGCTGCAGTGAGCCATATCATGTCACTGCACTCCAGCCTGGTGACAGAGCAAGGCCCTGTCTCAAAAATATATATATAATATTTTAAGAACTATTTCAACATGTAATCATTATAAAAATTGAGATATTTTATGTTCTTTTAAGGCTATTAAGTCTTTGAAATGGCTTAATGGCTACTATATTGAACAGTGCAACTCTAGACCTGGAACAGAAAATTGAAAAAGTATGGACTCAGACGATGAGGTCCTGGATTATCATGTAGCGAGTGAAGGAAGAATAAAAGCAGAACTGATGATACTGATGATGCCTGACAACTGTAATAAAGAGATGGCAAACAGACTTCATATCCAGATCCAGGCTCAGTGGCAGAGAATGCCATGTCTGATTAGCAATGTCTGCCATGGTCCTCGAAGGCATTTTAAAATATTCTTGGAGACTGAATTAACAGAGGCAGTCATGACAGAGAGGGAAATTATGAGGGGAAAGTTTAAGTACTGAGAGAACACCTATTACAGGTGAGGAAACTATGGTTGCCAGATTTTGTTCAAGGTCACATGGCTGCCTACCAAGCATTCCAAAGCCTACACTGTTGTATTATATAGGGTATTATGCTGCCACGTTTGTGGTGGCTAAATTCCACCACAGGTTGAGTCACAGAAAGTGGTAAAACAAAACAAAACAAAAAATTCTAAATGTTTAACAAAAACTCACAAAAAAGGGCTGGGCATGGTGGCTCACGCCTGTAATCCCAACACTTTGGGAGGCCGAGGTGGGCAGATCACCTGAGTCGGGAGTTCAAGACCAGCCTGGCCAACATGGTGAAACCCCATCTGTACTAAAAATACAAAAATTAGCTGGGCGTGGTGGCAGGCACCTGTAATCCCAGCTCCTCAAAAGGTTGAGGCAGGAGAATTGCTTGAACCTGGGAGGTGGAGGTGGCAGTGAGCAGAGATTATGCTACTGTTTCAGCCTGGACAACTGGGCAAGACCCGTCTCAAAACAGACAAACGAAAAAACCACACAAAAGGATAGAAAATACTTAAGTGTCATGGCAGAGAAAGAATATAAAGCATTGAAGGAATATAGTAAAAAGAACTTCTTGCAGGAAAAGCCCCTTGATTAACTCAAATCTTACCCCCTTCTTTAACTCTTTCTTGACAATAATCTTACATTAATCTCTCCCCACAGTTTATGTAGCACCTTATTTTCTTCATCTGCAAAATGGAGGGCATAACACTACCTACTTCCAAGTAGGGCCAAATAAGATAATGCACATACCCTTTATACAGTACTGGGAAAATAGTAAGTATTCATGAAGATTAGCTATTCATTGCCATTACAGGACTTCTATATACTTCCCGATTTCTTTTGCCCAGGCTGGAGTGCAGTGGCACAATCCCTACTCACTGCAACCTCCGCCTCCCAGGTTCAAGCAATTCTTCTGCTTCAGCCTCCCAAGTAGCTGGGATTACAGGCGCACTCCACCACACCTGGCTAAATTTTGTATTTTTAGTAGAGACAGGGGTTCAAGATGTTGGCCAGGCTGGTCTTGAACTCCTGACCTCAAGTGATCCACCCACCTCAGCTTCCCACAGTGCTGGGAGTACAGGCATGAGCCACTGTGCCTGGCCCCAATTTCTTAATTGTTGTTACTGCACAATTCAGCAGTTAATAACGGTTACAGACATGAGCCACCATGCCTGGCCCCAATTTCTTAATTGTTGTTACTGCACAATTCAGCAGTTAATAACAGTATGAATATAATCTTATAGCAATAATAGTAATTTTTATACATATATTTTGGAAATTTTCACATATGCATCATCACATGTAGCAATTACCCTGTATTACAGAGAACACTCTGAGATGCTAAACAATTTGCCCAAGGTTACATGATCAAAATGTAGAACCAAACTTCAAAAATTAAATCTCTACAACCAGTATCCTTTCTATGTCAATAACTGGTTCAAAGGGAATGTCTTACCTCTCAAATTATTTTATAGGCAGGATCATTTCTCATTGTTCTTTTGTACCTTACCATTGTGCCTGTTATGTTCAAAAGTACATTTTGAAAAGTTCTTAAAATAATTGCTCTCAATTTAGATGTCAAAACCTGAATATTCTACATGTGTCTTGGTGATCTCCTTTAAGTTAATCCTATAAAACACTAAGTACATTTAATTATGAAATGTCATTTCACAAGCTATGTAAGCATCCCTTGAAGCCTGCATTTTAATAATGTCTAGTTTTCAATTTTATGCACCTAAAATATCCTATGTGATGATATTAAATTAAGTATAGTATATATGTCTGAATATCTCACTGCTGGTTAGCCTCAGAATCTAAGCTTCAAAATAATTTACATAGCAACTAACCTAATCCTTAGTTCTCATGATAAAAAACAACAATTTGTCTTAAAAATTCAAAAACAGTACAAAGCAAAGTAGAACAAACCAGAAGCAAAATTTCAGTGTAAAAAACAACAAGAAAATTCCATTTGGAACCCAAAGCAGGTAGGGAATGGTGCCTCAGGACTGTAATCCCAGCACTTTGGGAGGTTCAAGTGGGAAGATCGCTTGAGCCTGGGAGGTTGAGACTGTGGTGAGCCGTGATCATGGCACTGCACTCCAGCCTGGGCCACTGAGTGAGACCCTGTCTCTGAAAAAGAAACAAAAAAGAGAAAGAAAAGAAAAGAAAACCAAAGAGGAAGAGTGATGGCCCTAGGGAATAATACTATGTGTCTTTTCACCATATCTAAATAACACATCTTTCAAAAACTTGATTGAGACTATTCATCAGAAATTGTAAGTTGTAAACTTTTCACTGTTGATAGTAGGCAAAGGATACATGGAAGAATTCAACTCTTCTAACTGCAAAACAAATAAAAAAATTATTTTTAATTTTTATAAGATCAATATAAATAATTGTTAACTATTTGTTTTTAAATAAATTATTTTTCATTTAAGCTTTCTTGTGCTGGTCACGGTGACTCATGCTTATAATCCTGGCACTTTGGGAGGCCAAGATGGGAGAACTGCTTGAGCCCAGGAGCTCCAGACTAGCGTGGGCAACATGGTAAGACCTCATCTCTACAAACAATAAAAAGAAATTAGATAGATGTGGTGATGCACACCTGAGGTCCAGCTACTTAGAAGGCTGAGGTGGGAGGATTGTTTGGGCCCAGGAGTTTAAGGCTGCAGTGAGCTCTGTTAGTGCCACTGCACTCTAGCCTGGGTGACAGAATGAGATACTGTGTCGGAAAAAAAAAAAAAACAAAAACAAAAAAGCTTTCTGTAAATGAAAAAGCAAAGTACTAAAGAAAAAAACTTTCAAAAAATTTTCAGGCTAAAAAATTCCTTTTTGCAAAAATAATCATAAAGTAGCATTAACATGTTTATGAAACATGAATATAAGGAGAGAGGCCAGACATGCTCTTGCCTGTAATCCCAGCACTTTGGAAGGCTGAGGGGAGAGGACTGCTTGAGCCCAGGAATTTAAGACCAGCCTGAGCAACATAACAAGACCCTGTCTCTACAAAAAAATAAAAAGAATATGAGCACAGAATGAAACCAGATTATAAAAACTGGAGTTTTATAAGTATTCCTAAAACCAGGCATCATAATAATCATCTCTAATAACAGTTTTTAAAAGAAAAAAATTGCCATTTTAATGATCAAAATATTTAAAACCATCATAGATTACAAAAAGATTTCATGTCACTCAATTTTCTATATAAGGTAGAATTCATCACCCCTTGTCTTAGTCTGTTTGGGTTACTATAACAAACACCATAAACTGGTGGCTTATAAACAATAGAAATTTACCTCTCATAGTTCTACAGGTAGGAAAGTTCAAAATTAAGAAGTCAGCAGATCTGCTGTCTCGGGAGGGCATGAACCACTTCCTGGCTCATGCAACAAGAGGGCTTTCTCCCCGTGTCCTCACTTGGTAGAAGAGGCAGCAGGTTTCTCTTGGGCCTCTTTTATAAGGACATTAATCACCTTCTTGCCCGAATCACCTACCAAAGGCCCCATCTCCTCCTACCATCACTTTCTAAGTTAAGATTTCAACATATGCTTTCTGGGGAGGACATAAACATTCAGACCACAGCATTTTTATCTTACAGAAGGAAAAATCTGAATTATAAAAATGTTAACTAAATGGCTCAATGTTGTTCAGTTATAACCCAAATGCAAACACTGAACTAAACGAAGGCTTTCTGGTTTCAAATTCAGTGTTCTTTTCACTATACCACTGTTATTCTGCTAAATGTATAGCAAATTATACTTATTATCTGTTAAGAGGAAAAAAATGTAAAACATGAACTGGTAAGGCTGGGCACCGTGGCTCACACTTGTAATCCCAGCACTTGGGGAGGCCAGAGTGAGCAGATCACTTGAGTCCAGGAGTTCAAGACCAGCCTGTATAACATGGTGAAACCCCACCTCTCCTAAAAACACAAAAATTAGCCAGGCGTGATAGTCTCAGCTACTTGGGGGTGCTGAGGCAGGAGGATGGCTCAAGTTCAGGAAGTTGAGGCTGCAGTGAGCTGAGATGGCGTCATTGCACTCCAGCCTGGGTGACAAAGTGAGACATTGTCTCAAAAAACAAACAAACCATGAACTGCAAATGGAAATACTTGCAAGACTGAATATGACAGACATGAAATAAAAAGATTATAGACTCGAAATAGTGAAAGTATTGGCATACAAGTTCCCTCACATTTACTTATTCAAAAGAGAGAAAAACAGTAGAAATTAACCCTTTTTGTCAACGGTTAATAGGGAATCTAAAACTAACGTGTTAAATTCAATTTTTATTTATTTTTGTTCCAAAAAGGATTTAAAGAGGCAAATTTAATTAACATTTCTCAGTGTAATAATCATACCTCGTGTTATGTGCTAAACTGTGTACCCTCCAAAATTCATGTTTCAGTCCTCACCCCCAGTATCTCAGACTGTGAGTAGATTTGAAGACAGGGGTTTTAAAGAGGTAATTAAGTCACAATGAGGTTATTAGGGTAGGCACTCATCCAATGTGACTGGCAGGAAGAGCAAAGTTGGGCACTTGGCATAGAGGAAGAAGCCATGTGAACGTGACGGCTACTACAAACTGAGAGGCCTCAGAAAAAATGCAACCCTGCCACCCTGGGCTCCAACTTTAGCCACCGGAATTGTGAGAAAATAAATGTCTGTTGTTAAAGCCACCCAGTCTGTGGTACTTTGTTTTGGCAGCCCTAGCAAAGTAATACATATGGCAAGGTACTAAATTAGCAGAAATACCAAATGTAGGTCTGTATTTAAAAACAAGTAACCACCACCTGAGTAAATAACACAAAATGTATTAATCACATCAGGAAAGGTCTTTTTGACTACTATCTTCTGTATCTTAAGACTTTATTATTTCTGTACAGAAGCAAATATTTTGCTTTCAGATTTGCCAGCATCTGTATTCTGAGAATACATGCTTAGATGTAAATATGATAACTTCCTTGGAATATATTTCTTGAAAAAAAAAAAGAGGAAAGTTTTTACAACATGGATGAAACTTGAACATTAAGTAAAATAATCCACTTAGGCCACATACTGTATAATTCCAGTGATATGAAATGTCCACAATAGGCAAATCCATAAAGGCAGAAAGTAGAGTAGGGGTTGCTAGGGGATGAGAAGAGGAGAGAATTGAGAGGTACAGGGTTTCTTTTTGGGATGGTGAACATGTTCCGCAATTCAACAGCGATCTGCACAACACTGTGAATATGCTAAAAACCGCGTGATTGTATAAATTAAAATAGTTCAAAAGGTAAATTTTTTTGCAATAAAATTTTACTTTAAAGAACAAAGAAAAAGAATTACACTTACATCTGAGAGAAGCCTATCCAGATTGGAGTCACTGGCTGTTTTTCTCTTATCCTCAGGAAGTTCCTCTAACTCCCCATAGAGCTCCAAATTCAAGCGAGCTAATTTCTCCTGCATTCCCCGAACATGTTCCATCTGTTCAATGGAACATTCATTTCCTTGGGAACATTCCAGAACATTAATAATGATTAGGACAGTTCAAACGAACAGCATTGAGTAAAAACACTTAAACTCTAGGTGCTCTAAAAGAAACAGGTTTTCTTTCTTCTGTAAATTAGATAATTATTATTTTCTGTGTTTAATAACAAATCAAATTTCTGACCAGGAAAACAATGACCAACCTAAGAAATGACCTTGGGTACTAAAGAAAATCATATAGGAAATATTTCAGGCCAGGCGTGAAATATTACAGGCTCACGCCTGTAATCCCAATACTTTAGGAGGCTGAAGCAGGTGGATCATGAGGTCAGGAGATCGACACCATCCTGGCCAACATGGTGAAACCTAGTCTCTACTAAAAACACAAAAGTTAGCTGGGCATGGTGGCGCACGCCTGTAGTCCCAGCTATTCGGGAGGCTGAGACAGGAGAATCGCTTGAACCCAGGAGGCAGAGGTTGCAGTGAGCTGAGATCGCGCCCCTGCACTCCACCCTGGCAATAGAGCGAGACTCGGTCTCAAAGAAGAAAGAAAGAAAGAAAGAAAGAAAAGCATATAGGAAACATTTCTTTTTAAAAAGCAAAATCAGGCTGGGTATGGTGGCTCGTGCCTATAATCCCCACACTTTGGGAGGTTGAGGCAGTAGGACTGCTTGAGCCCAGGAGTTTAAGACCAGCCTGGCAACATGGCAAGACCCTACCCCTACAAAAATATTTTTAGAAAAACACATTAGGTAGGCATGGTGGTGCATGCCTCTGGTCCCAGCTACTCAGGAGACTGAGGCAGGAGGATTGCTTGAGCCCAGCAGGTGAAGGTTGCAGTGAGCTATGTTCAAGCCACTGTACTCAAGCCTAGGTAACAGAGTGAGACCCTGTCTCAAGAAAAAAAAAAAAAAAAAAAAAAGAGAGAGAAAGAAAATCATCCCTTAAGTAGAGAAAATATGTTTTCTTCAACAATAACATGATATGTAGAAGCAAAACAGAACCATCTAATCATGTCGTTTGACAATTACCATTTTAACTGAGTGACCCAACATTTTATAATAATTTGAGTGAAATTAAGAGTTCTAGGCCCAAGTGGCTCATGCCTGTAATCCTAGCACTTTGGGAGGCCAAGGCTAACGGATCCCTTGAACCCAGGAGTTCGACATCACCCTGGGCAACATGGTGAAACCTCGTCTCTACTAAAATTCCAAAAAATCAGCCAATTAGCCAGGCGTGGTGGCATGTGCCTGTAATCCCAGCTACTTGGGAGGCTGAGGTGGGAGGATCACATAAGCCTGGGGAGGTTGAGGCTGCAGTGAACCATGATCACACCACTGCACTCCAGACTGAGTAACAGAGCGAGACCCTGTCTCAAAAAAAAAGAAAAAAAAAATAGAGTTCTGGCTGGGCACGGTGGCTCACACCTGTAATCTTAATACACTTTGAGAGGCCAAAGTGTGAGAACTGCTTGAGTCCAGGGGTTGAAGACCAGTTTATGAAACATGGCAAAACCTCATCTCTATAAAAAATACAAAAATTAGCTGGGTGTGGTGCTGTATGCCTGTAGCACCAGCTACTTGGGAGGCTGAGGTGGGAGGATGGCTTGAGCCCAAGGAGGCTGAGGCTGCAGTGAGCTGTGATTGTACCACTGCACTCCAGCCTGGGTGACAGAGAGAGACTCTATCTCAAAAAAAAAAAAAAAGTTCAATAACGACTTCAAATGTGAATCATTTTGCCAACCAATTATGTATTCTTCCTTTAAGAAATATTAATAAAAATATTTATGAAGCATGAAAAATGTTATGAAGCATGAGCAACACTATGTAGTATTCTTAATTGTATATACAGTTGTCAAGACAACTTAATTGCTAAAGGATAGGTCTTACATTATGTATTGACCAAGAGTCCTCTGAAGTGACATTATCTGCCCAGAGCAACTAATTTATACACATAACATATTATCTTTTCATTCAGTTTAAGTACAGACTCTACAATCCCTTGACAGTATAATTTTTTCAAAAAAAACCTTTCTATTTTTCCTAAAGGTACTATACAGGTAAAATATACCTCAGCTAAAGTTGAAGTACATATCCTGAATAAATATGAATTAATGTAAATTATACTAGTTTCCTCTAGCCAGCTTTATAACATCTTCATAAATGGACTATACTATATTATGTTAAGGACTACTAATGTTGAAGCTAGTTATGGCTCTCTCAAAATCGTCCTTTCTTCACAGTAAAATATGTCATATTTCCTCTATTTTAGTCACGATTTTCAACATTAGTAACCTGGAAGGTCAAATGGAAGAAACAGAAATATCTCAAGATATGTGTTTGTGTGTATGTATGTTTGTGTATATGTATGTAAATGTACAGTAAAAATATAAAGAGGTAGAAATCATACGGGAAAAGATGAGAGTCGGAGGACGGATCAGGGTGACCCACCATGAGAACAATAGAAGCTTCAGAGGCTAAAAAGGAAGAGATGGAAGAAAAATAATAAACAATAGAAAATATGTTACGTGAGATGAAAGATGAGTCAGCAGATATGAAGGGCTCACTGATTCCCAGGCAGATTGATGAGAAAAGACACAGTCCTAAGCATATCCTGGAAAATGCCTAACCTTTAAAGATAAAAGAAAAACATCTTTTAATCATCGAGACAGAAAAATATAAATTACCTGCTAAGAAAGAATCTGACTGGCAATGGAATTCTCATCTGCAACACTTATTATGAAGAGTAATCAGTAGGATAACAGACAAAGACAAGAAAGGACTTCAATCCAAAAACACAGAGGCAACATAGAGTAGGGGAAGAAAGGTGATGGGAAAAAGCAAAGACATGGAAGTGGTCCAAAGATTACATCTCAAGGGTAGGAGGGAAGAATGGAAGAGAGGGGAAGTGAAAATACTCTGAAGATACCGCCTTACTGGGATGGGCTAAAGCAAGGAGGTAGGGGTATAATAAAGTATTTTGGTGAAATAAATAATGTGCTTTTAATGTCTTCTTTTCAAATATTAGCATAACCAAGACTGGAAACCCAGAAACTATGAAAAAAAAGATACAGACATGTTTGAGAATGCAAAAAGTAAAAATTTTCACAAAGTTAAATATACCATAAACAAAGTGCACAGACACAACAAATTTGGTAAACAAAAGTAAATACATAATAGAGGTCAGAGGGTTAGTATCTAAAACATAAAGGGCTCTTTACAAGTGACAACAAAAGGATAAATAACCAAGTAGAAAACTGACAGAAGGTCCTGAAAAGGATATATCAAACAATCTACCAAACACACATGGATCTTCAAACTCAATTGCAATAAAAGACATCTCACTTAACACCAAGAGACAGGCAAAAATTAAAAGACGAATAATACCTACTGCTTGGTGGGAATTCAAGGAAAAGCATTCTTTCATAAATTGTTTATGGAACCTAGAAGTGCAGTATTGTTTTTCTTTGCAAAGCAATCTGCATACTTCTATTAAAGTTAAAATTACATATATACTTTGACCCAGCAATCCCACTCATGAGAATCAATCCCAGAAGAATAGAAGCACCAGCCTAAAGATCTATGTAAAAAGATGTTCACTACGCCATTGTGTTTGCTGGCTCAAAATAAGAAACAAAGTAATGCCTCTCAATAGGGACATGGTTGAATAAACTAGAGTATATTCAAAACTTGGAATATTATGTTGTCATTAAAAAAGAATGAACTAGAGCCATCCTAGGTGCATTAGAGAGATTTCCATCAGATATTCTTTAGTGCAGGAAAGCAAGATACAGAATATCTTATATAAGATACCATTTGTATTAAATAATGAAAATAAAAATATGAAAAGATATATACCTGGATTGTTAACAAATGGTTGGGATGAGGGGAAGTGGAAGTAGCAGAAGGGATAAGGGAGGGAATAGGAAAGTCAAGTAATAAAAACATGGGGAAGGGAAAGAATACTTTAAAAAATCAATATGTATGTGGATATTTATGCATTTGTATAAGATTATGCATCTTCTAAAAAACTAGGGGGAAGTTAAAAAAAAAGTTTTTAAAGATTATGCATATTATTGAAATTGCCTTTTAAAATATTGAGAAATAGGCCAGGTGCGGTGGTTCATGCCTGTAATCCCAGCACCTTGGGAGGCTGAGGCGGGCAGATCAGGAGGTCAGGAGATGGAGATCATCCTGGCTAACATGGTGAAACCCCATCTCTAGTAAAAATACAAAAAATTAGCCAGCCATGGTGGCACACGGCTATAGTCTCAGCTACTTGGGAGGCTGAGGCAGTAGAATAACTTGAACCTGAGAGGCGGAGGTTGCAGTGAGCTGAGATCGCGCCATGGCACTCTAACCTGGGCGATAGAGCCGGACTCTGTCTCAAAAAAAAAATTGGGAAATAATCTTATCATTAGAAAAAGCTTACAAATAAGTTCCAAACTGCACATGAAAAATCTATCTTTTGGGAACTCTGTGACTATCAAAAAATACCTATTCAGAATTTTTAATGGGACAATCAGTTAACTATTCTTATATCCTCATGAAAAAACAAGAAAACTGGATTCTTTTAATTCCTAACTTTAAATCAGGAATCCTGGGAAAGAAACAAGTTTAAGCTTAGGAGGGTAAGGGAAAATGATCTTGATACTTTCAAAATGAAGACACTAAGTCTAAAATATTTTAACTGACCAAGACTGTCCCTCTTATTTGTTAAACCTGCAAGATACTTATTCCATAATAGCAATCCTACTTTAACATTTCAACTAACCCTCCTTCTTTAAAAAAAAAAGAAACCTTTTTCCCAGAAGTTTTAGAAGGCAAATTATATTCTAAGACAAAATCTAGGATGATTGCCTTTATGCCTGTGGGTTGTTTTTTTCTTAAAAGAAACTGGCACTTTGAAAAGGAGAGTAAAATACACACAGAAAATAGGATGCAAACATCTTAGAGAAAAAAATAGTAGAGAAACATCTACTGCTTACCAAATGCTTGGAGTTTTCCAGAGTGGAAATCATTCAAAAGACTGAGCAGCCCTCTCTCCATCTCCTGAACATCTGAGACATCAGTGAGGAAGGAGTGCTGAATCGGAGTTGACTGAGCGCCTTTTCCCTCTCCGCCCTGAGGTTTGGTCTTTTCTTTCATCACTCTGTGAAGATGATGCAATTAACTTTAATTCTATCTTTTTAGGCTATTCTAGATTAAGCTTCTGCTGAATTTTTTAGTGAAGTAAATGGAATTTCCCTTAAAAGCCAGAAATCAAATAGTCAATACTAAATAAAACCAGAAACTCCAAGCCAGAAACCAAAAGAAAAAACAGGCTGTGAAAAACCTCAAACAAATGTATAAAATATAACTACAAAGGCATATAAAAAGTTTGATTAAAGCATTTATATAATATGCTAATTATTTGGACTGCAGAAAAGAAAACTTGTCTCTATTATCCTATGTTTTACATTTCATTTCTCAGTAAAACATATTACACCTTTCCCTTCTAAACTTTATTTGTTCCTTGAACTCTCAGTAGTTCTACAAGTGGTTATGGGGTCCCTACTCTGTAGCCGACGTTATCCACAAACACCCAGTCTAAGGAGAAGGGAAGATATTTAAATTCATAATCACCATGTAATGGAATACTAAAAACTTGTTATCACCCTTGACTCCTCCAACTTCCCAAGGCTCCTACATGCAGTCGTGAAGTCCTATCAATTATACCCACAAAATATCTAATCTCTCCAGTTCTCTTTCTCCCCTGCCGCCATCCCATCTCTTAACCAAAGCGCTTCCCAACCAGTCTCCCTATCTCTGTGTGTGATCCCTGATCTCCCTTCTCTCCCCACTGGGCAGCCAAGTCCATTTCTAAAAAGTAAAATCAGATCATATAATTTGCTTAATTAAAAATGCTTCAGTACGCCAGGCACGGTGGCTCATGCCTGTAATCCCAACAGTTTGGGCAGCCCAGGCAGGAGGATGACCTGAGGTCAGGAGTTCAAGAACAACCTGGCCAACATGGCGAAACCCTGTCTCTACTAAAAATATAAAAATTGGCCTGGTGTGATGGCGCACACCTGTAGTCCCAGCTACTCAGGAGGGTGAGGCAGGAGAATCCCTTGAACCCAGGATGTGGAGGTTGCAGTGAGCTGAGATTGTACCCCTGCACTTCAGCCTAGGTGACAGAGCGAGACTCCGCGTCCAAAAAAAAAAAAAAAAAAACTTTAGTAGCTTTGCATTGCCTGCTGAATATAATCTAATATCCCAAAGAAACCCTATCCTCCCTTGTCTATGCTCTAGACACTGAATCTCTTTAGTTTCCTAGAAATCCATTCTCTTATCTTCTTACGTGCTAATCCTCTGCCTACATTAGCATTCTTCCACTTACTGCCATCTTTGGCACACTACCTCCCACACATCTTCAAGTCTCAGTTTAAATGCTATTTCCTCAGGAGGGCCTTTTTGGAACCCCTAGACTAAATTAGTCCTTATTACACATGTCTGGCATATACCAGGCTCTCAAATGCTTGAGTGATGATGTTATGCACACTGTGATACAGGAAGAGAGAGAAGCAGTTCGTTCAGCCTGGGGCCAACCAGAGAAGGCTTCCTAAAAGTGATAAGTGAGCAAAGACTTAAAGAACAAGTAGCAGCTAAATAGGCAAAATGGGAGAAAGAGTAATTTATCTTTATAACCCAATGCACACAACAAATCCCGATATGGAAGTATATTCAGTACTCAATTTTTACATAATGTTGAATGAAGACACCTTCAACACAGCTGTCCTCACCACAATAACGATAAGATAAATAGGGTATACCAGGGAAGGTAGGGGAGGGGGGAAAAAAGAAACAGACTATCATATGAAAGAAGTTTAGAATAGATACACTATGGACAGTAGGTCAGTAACAGTTCTTCCCAAAGCAAGGGCTGCATTTTATATATTATATACATTATGTAATACCTTGTTACTCAAAGTGCTGCCCATGGCCCACAGAATCAATTTCACTTGTGAGCTTCTTAGAAATGCTCATCTGAAGCCCCCCATCCCACACTGATGCAGAATCTGTATTCTAAAAAAATCCCTGAAAGATCCATATTCACATTTTAAATCTGAGATAAACTATTACAGAGCACAAGGTTTCAGCATGACAAACGTATTTTTTCTCTCAAATTTAGAAGTTTTCTCCAAGTAAAGTTTCACATCATCAATTAATAACCCTCTCAGAAAACAAACACAAAAAATAAAACAAAAACCTGTTTATTCCTGCTTCAATGTTATTTCACACTCTCACTTTATGTTAACATAATTCAACAATAAAGAAAGCACACAGTGAAATAATACTATGTGCAAAGGCCCACTGTAAGTACCGTCAGGCACACAATGACGATCCAGATAGTCCCGGCTCTCAGAAGCCGACATCTACAAGAACGTATGGAAATAAAACCACAAGTAAAAATGACAATGATACAAATAAACTGCTTTTAAAAATATAGCAAAAGGAGTGATTACTTTTAAAATCTCTTGGTTTTCTTTTTCCACCAACTGTAAAGTTATTCAAAATCTGACCCTAATTAAACTCCTCCACAAGAAAAACCCCATTCTGATAATTCATTTGAAGGAAATCCTCAAAACTCAAAACTCCTGTTTATCATTTGGTACTCATTGGAATACTTCTTTCAAATGTTCTCTTGTCTTTGGCTGTGTCCCTTTTGTTTCCATAAAGAGAGATCTTCATCAAGGCAGTAATCTCATCTTTTATTACGTGTAAACCCAGTGGCTTCAGAATGCAACAGGCATTTCCTTAGCTAACTTGCCAGGGTGAGACTGGATGTGAGCGTAAATTTATTTAATAATTAGAAAGAAGATTGACATTACACAACACTTTTTTTCTCTAAAGCTATAATCTTCCCTTCCAAATATCTAATACTACAAAATACTCACATACATATAACAGTAACATATAACATAGTTAAACTTGTCACTTGTTTCCTTTAAATATCCTGAATGCAAATGATGTTCACCAAATATTAATAATGATTATTTCTAGGTGGTAGAATTTTCGCATTTTGAATTTCTTCTTTGAATTTTTCCTGTGTTTGAATTTTTATAAAAAACACAAATTATTTATACAAAAACAATGACATCATTATTTTTTAGAAATAAAAACTGCAAGCTGGGTGTGGTGGCACACACCTGCAGTCACAGCCCCTCAAAACTAAAAAAGTGTTTTAAGAAGAAGTTGAGTCAGGACTTACTTCAATGGCATTTTACTGTGAACATGTAAAATAAAAGAATTCACCTTTTTAACTTTGGTCGCTGTGAAGTTGACTGTGATGCAGGATTTGAAAACCCTGTGCTTTTACTCACTGGAATGGCATTTTTTTTGGCATTGACAACCTGAGTACAATGGGCACTAAAAGACTTAGGACTCCTCCTCTTCACTTTCCGCTCTTCCATTGTTTTAAGTTCCTTATTGCACCACGGCCAGCTTCTTAAGACCTAAATAAGGAAATAATACAATTATATATGCATGCTATAATATGCAAACATGAAAGAAATTCAAAGACCCATTTCACAGGTCAAAAGAGGATCAAGAATTCCAGAGGGCATAAGAGAAAGTTAGAAAATGGGTCTCTTAAGTTTAATCTACTCTACTATGTACCCATAAGCCCCTAGCAAAATTGTCTGGTAGACAGTTTTGTTATTGTTGTTTTGTTTTTTACCATTTTCTTTATTCCCTCATCCTACAAATATTTACTGATTCTCTTCCATAAGCCAGACACTATTGTGGGCACTGGGGAGACGGCACTGAACAAAACAAGATGTTTGCCCTCAAGAAGCCTACATTTTACAAGGGGAACAATATATAAACAATAAACAAATGATCCACATAATATTCCTGGCCTGATTCAAGTTTCAGGTGGCCTTTAGGTCTCTCTTCCAAAATGTATGCTCAAGAAGAACCAACTAGATTCAAACAGATGTATAATTGTCAGGGGGATTTTAATCAGCATTTAAAAAATCAAATAGAAGCCTTACTTCAAACTACTAAACAGAAATCAGTTTCTAGCTAGGGCTAATAATGATTCTAGCATGGTGATCAAGGAAAGTTCTAGAAAATCAAACTTGTTTGTTGCCTATTTTGAATATACTTTCTCTAACCATTTCCAAACAAACATGAATTTTATGATATATATTTGGTTTTACCCGTATCAAAAAAAGTTAACAATGTGAAGTTACAGAGGGCCCTTCCATGGGGAATATGTGTAAGGCCTCCTAGTTATCCCTGCACAATCCCCTTACTTTATGTATTAATCCGCTCTATTTTCTAACATCTATCTATTTAAAAATACCCTTCCGGCCAGGCGCGGTGGCTCCTGCCTGTAATCCCAACACTTTGGGAGGCCAAAGCGGGCGGATGACAAGGTCAAGAGATCGAGACCATCCTGGCTAACACGGTGAAACCCCGTCTCTACTAAAAACACAAAAAAATTAGCCGGGCGTGGTGGCGGAGGCCGGTAGTCCCAGCCACTCGGGAGGCTGAGGCAGGAGAATGGCGTGAACCCGGCGGGCGGAGCTTGCAGTGAGCCGAGATCACGCCACTGCGACACAGCGAGACTCCGTCTCAAAACAAAACAATAAAAAACATGAAAACCTTTCCATATTTTATTTGCGCATAGTGTTAAATTTTTCTTAACGTCATTATTTCATGTAACGTAAGATAAAGAATTTATATGGCTATCTACCTCATCAGGTTGTAAATTGCCTTCTAGAAACATTAGGCCGTTTTTTGCATGTTGTGTTTAAGCATGCCATGACCATTCGAAAAGATTCAAACCCATTGCTGTCGCTTAAAATAATTATTTGAGAAATTCAATGAAATTTTTTTTTTCTTTTGCCTGGACTTAGTGCCACTGGCACTGGAATTTAAACCACTCAGCTTAAATTGGCTGACGCTAGACAATCACAACTGGAGCTACAATACTTCCAAAGAAGAGGCTTTCTGGGAAAGGCTCCAGTGCCCAGTCTCTAATCCCAGATACCATTGTGTATCAATCCACTTAAACCTTGGCTAACAATTTTTCTTTTAAGAATAATTTCGGTAACAATAGTAATTCTGGTATTGTGTCAACATGCAACACAAATGAAAGTCTGAAAGATGACTGAATAGAGATGATGGGATATTAGTTCTCTGAAGAGGCAAGAATCTGTAAAAATTTATGATACGCATAAACACGCTGGCCTGAAATTTCACGATGCTAATACGCATTTGGTGGTACAAGAGAAAAAAAAAATCTAGAAAGTTAAAGCAATGCAAATAAACCAATGGTGGTCTAAACCACAATATTCTGGGGAGCCAGCACTCGCGATTTCCTCGTTTTTGGAAAGTCACATCTGTCACAAGAGCACTGAAACCCTTCTTGTATATCAAACAGCAACGAATGTTTTAGAGAACGCATAAGTAAACTGCTCATAGTTATTCACACAGTGGTTTTAAGTGCCAAGTCTTGCCTCCAAGCAGTACCCCTGGAGGTCCCTCTTGACATCACCTCACTCCCCTTCCCCAATCTGCCGAAGCGATGACCCTTCACCGCCCAGTACCCAGCAGTGACCAGAGTGGTGGGAAAGGCCTAAAGGGGCAGGTTGCGGAGGTTCCTCTGCTTCCACTACATACCTGAAGAAGGGTATTGGGGCCCCCTTCCGCAACCCGCAAAGACCTGACAGCCTCAGAAGCCACCGCCGCAGCCACAAACACAGCCCCGGTCACATCACTGGACCCGCGCCTCGGCAGCTCCCTTTGTTTACGGAAGTGACGTGAGAGGCACGGCCTCCATGCCCCAAGCGGAAACCCCGCCTTTTCCTGCTTCCCCAGTGTCACTCTTGTCTCCGCCCTCGGCATTTCATTGTTTCGCGTGTCCTGCCTTTAGCTGTAACTCCGGCGGGCGTGAAAAGGAAGACTCATGGTTGGGCGCGTCGCTTTAGGCTCTGTGACCCAGGAGGAAGACGCAATAAGCAGGTGCAGTGGAAGTAGAAACGGGCAATGCAGTACCTTTCCCGGAAGCTACTCAGCCCTTTGGTGAGTGTCAGAGCCCTAAGAACTACAATTCCCAGAATGCTGTTCGAGCACGCCCGAAGGCGGAACCAGAGTGTCGCAGTGCAACTGTTCCTTGGTTGTTTCCGATTGGTTGCCCGGACTTCTCGCGGCTAAACTAACTTTGGCTGGAAGGCGGCGTGAAGAGGGTGATGCTGTTCAGCGACCATGATGCTGAGCCCGTAAACGAGAGTCTGTCACCACTATTAATAGCTATTCTGTTCGGGCCCTACACATAACGTTATATCTAAACCTCTCTACAGTTTTATGGGTACGAGTTATAATCTCCGTTTTACAAATGGGGAATTTGAGGCTCAGAAAGGCTAATTGTTGCAGGTGTCTCTCTGTCGCCAAAGACAGTTCTACTTCCACTATACTTAAAGCTTCTGGAGAACGACTTGCAGGCTGAGAGAAAGAGATCTATCTTAAATGAGGGAAGAAATGCACGTTTCATTGCCTGGTCTGGGTAGCCTTTCCGGTGTGGGAGTGGGAGGTGGGAAGATTTTAGATTCACAGGTCCTTAGATTGAAGGGACTCTGGAGGAACACCACATACCACCCCCGCATTAGCTAATGGGGAAACCATATCTAGAGATTGTATCCATGCCAGAAAAGGCGGAGCAAAGACAACCCCAGTCTCCTGGCTTCTAGGATAGGATGTTCTTCCACCACCCGCCATTAAAAAAAAAAAAAAAATTCTGAAATGTTTTCAAAAGAAAAGCACAAAGTAAACGCTTAACGCACCCACTGTCCAGAACGAACAGATTTATGAATGAAAGAAACAGAGCATTACAGATAAAGCAGATGTGCCCTATTCTCAGTTCCACTCTACTACCACCCTCAGGGAGGCAACCAGGATCATGAATTTGATATGTATCTTGCCAATCTAGGTTCCTATACTTAAACTATTACTATGTATTATAAACAATATGTAGAATGGTTTGGGGTATTTGAAGTTTTATATGAATGCTATTATATTTTGTGTATTGATCTGCAACTTGATTATTTCACCAAATTCTGTGTTTTTGAGAGCTGTCCACGTTGATAAATATAGCTAGACTTTATCAAATAGATTTGCCACAAATTATTTGGGAATTCCAATAGTGATGGATGTTTAGGTTGATTCCCATTTTTCACCGTTACAAACACTACTGTACAGTCTTCTCAATATCTTTTCCCAGTTTCTCCTTTTAATTAATGTCAAATTGTCTTATTTGTATGAACAGAGCTTGCAACTGGTGATTCACATGCTACTTTTTTTTTCAAATTGGTTGCTAATGGCTAAAATTGAAAGAATTAAAAAAAAAAAAAAAGGATCTGTGGCATCCCATGAATTAATGGGAAGATCTGACTACATTAGATCTGTGTTGTAGCCTGGCAACAATGGTTCAAGCTGAAAAGCATCTGCCTCCTTTACATCAGTTCAAGTAATATCTAGTTTTTCTTTATCTTTAGTACCCATCTGAGCCCTGTAGCATTTGTGTTTACAACCTGCAACATTATGTAGGGACACAGGAAAGCACCCTTCTAAATGTACATATTTCAGGTATTCAGAAATAGGTATTCAGGTTTTGAATACCTATTTGAAGTCCCTATTTTAGCCACACCCTGTGATAGGAGGTCAGGATGCATCTATCAACAAAAGGTGTAAGAGCTTTATAGTCAGAGATTTTATATTCCTGATATGAGAGACTGACAAATTAGTATGCAAATAAAATAGTTTCATTTAGTCAGATAAGAGTCCGAAATAACAGCTTAAGTTCAAAAGTAGTGTGTACTGAAGGAGAAGTATCAGGGAAGGCCTTCCCAAAAATGCAACTTTGAGGTAGAGATAGGAATGAAGTGCATGAGCCAGCTGTGGAGTGATCTGAGGGAAAGGAGTCCTTGAGTGCCAGGCACGGTGGCTTTTGCCTGTAATCCAGCACTTTGGGAGGCTGAGGCAGACAAATAGCTTGAACCCAGGAGTTGGAGACCAGCCTGGGCAACATAGCAAAACCCCATCTTTACAAGAAATACAAAAATTAGCTGGGCATGGTGATACAGGCCTGTAGTCCCAGCTACTTGGGAGGCTGAGGTGGGAGGATCACCTGAACCCAGGAGATCAAGGCTGCAGTGAGCTATGATCACGTCACTGTGCTCCAGCCTGGGTTACAAAATGAGACCCTGTCTCAAAAAAAAAAAAAAAAAGAAGAAGAAGAAGAGCATCCTTGAATAAAACATACAGCTAAAATGCAGGCCATTAGGCAAAATGAACTTTAACATGTTTGAGAAAGCAGAGGGTTAGTGTGGTGACATGTACTGAGCTAGGGACCGAGTGACACAAGATAGAGTTGTTGTAGAGGTACAATTTCAAGTGTGATTTCTTTTATCTAAAATCTAGAGTTCCTCCCTGAAAGAAATGATCTTTCAGGTTTTCTATATTTTCCTTTAATTCCATTAAACTGTAAACATCCCTTCTTTGGATTAACTGTTAAATGTATACCTTGAATAAATTACTCCAATCAGATACTTTCTTCCTGAGGATTATGTTTAGAGGATAGGAGCTTTGATTAACAAGACCTTTCCCCTGCCTCCCAGTACTCATACATTGTATAGTATAGGTAGGTAAGGAGGAGTACTGCTGGCGAATTTCCTAGTACTAGCAGTGGAGAGCCATTGAGAGAAAAATCTGCTGGGGCCCCAGAAATCTCTATTTTAAAAAAATATTTGTGTTATGGAAAATTTGAAACATATATACTGAGAAAGACAGAAAAATATAATGAATCCCTCATCCAGCCATTAACCCCTGGTCAGTGATACCAATCATACTTGTTATCAGTGATGTTGATTCTGACCCTTTGTGGAATGAAATTTTTGTTACTTTTTTGTAGGGTGCTATGAAGATAAGAAAAGAAACAGGGATTTCAAAAGAAAATTATAACTGAATTTATACTTACTAATTTTTGGTATCATCTCAGGTGATTCACATGGACACACATAAACACACCCACAAGTGCAGCTAGAAGTAAATCACCCAGAAACTATCATTGTCCTTGTACATTGTATATACAATGCAATCATTTCATACTTTGGCTAGAAAACTGTGATTTCTGTCTTGCAAAGCTGTATGTAGTAGATAATGTGATAACCTGTAATATTGATCTGATAAATATGTATTCAGATGAAACCTGTAAAAAAAAAATGCACCTCTTCTGACATTTTTCAGTCTCTAGTATTATGTTAAAGTAAATCTCAGATATAATTTAATCCCTAATATTTTAATATAGATTGCTAAAAGATTAAAACTTTTAAAGACTTCACCACAATGCCTTTATGATTCCTAAGCAGCAACAAATGATTAATGTGATTGAATATTCAGTAAGTATTCAAATTTCCATTCGAATCAGAAGTGTGATAACTTTTTTCACATTTTACTTGAGTCAAGAACCTCTCTTTCTGTAAGGTCCTCAGGTGATGAAAGGGTTTGGAAGCCTCTCTTGTACAGCCTCATTTGTTGAGCTACAAACATGCATTGTCCTTTCCCTTCAGAAAGTTAGGGTGCTGTGCAAGCAGGACTGTAGACTGGGACTCCAACCTCCAGCTATAGACTTGGACTAGTCCGTGGCCTGTTAGGAACTGGGCCACACAGCAGGAGGTGAGTGGCCAGTGAGTGAGCATTACCATAACCTGAGCTCCCACCTACTGTCAGATCAGCGGTGGCATGAGATTCTCACAGGAGCCGGAGCCCCAGGGTGAACTGCGCATGTAGGTGGGCGGCGCTCCTTATGAGAATCTAACTAAAGCCTGATGATCTCAGGTGAAACAGTTTCAGTTTCATCCCCAGACCACCCCCACCCAATCCATGAAAAAATTGTCTTCCACAAAGCCCATCCCTGGTGCCAAAATGGTTGGGGACCGCTGCTCTAAAGGGGAAGGCAGGTATCGCAAAGCAAATGGATACTCTACCTCAGTGCCTGAAGCACAATCATTCCTGTGTTGTCCTTTGTGGTTCTTATAGGGAACAGATGTGTTTTTTGTTTGTTTCTTGTTTTTGTTTGTTTTTACCCGGAAGCCATTCCATCATTTTCTAAGTGTGTCTCCACCTCCATTTCCCCTGATGCCAGAATGTCTTGGCCAAGATAGTCACTGCTTAATGCCTCTTTGCATGTCTGGCTCAGGAAACAGCTAAGAAAAAAAAGATAAGAAGTCATAACGCAGAAACGAGCTTGGCATGTTCACGGAACTGAAAGAATGCCAGCGTAGTGTCTGGAGTGCAGGGGGACAAGGAGAGGTAGTATGAAATGAAGTCCCCAAGGTTGCCAGAAGGTCAGGTCAGGAAGGGTTTTTTAAACCAATATAAGAAATCTCTGTTTTTTCCCCTAAGCACAGCAATAGGCATTGGAGAGTTTTAAGGCATGACATGGTCTAAGTTACATTTTTAAAAGATTATTCTATAGAAGAATGGAAACAGGAAGGCCAGTTAAGAGAAATAGCCCACAGTGTGGTGTTACATAGGCTTGCTTTACAACTCAAACCTGAAAAGATAAGTTATTTCAAAAGCCATGCTGTACTATGACTACTATTATAAAACTTGGTAAGGTTCCTTCTTTGAGGCACCCTCTAAAAAAGGTGCCAAGAGATTGGATCTGAACTGTCCAGCACTGACGGCCTTCAGAGAGCTATGCTATTGTAGATGAGCGAGCCTTTTGGGAACTGTTAATAGTGAAAGGAAGAACCACTTGGTGAAGAGCTGTGAGCCACCATTTCTGGAGGAGCGTGGTATGGTGTCATGGAAAGTGCACCAGACCAGGAGTTGTGGGAAACCCAGTT